AAAGAAATATATATATATATATATATATATACACACACACACACACACATACATATAAGCTACCATTAAAAAAATTGGGGTCAGTGAGAATTTATTTATATATTTAAATTAATAATTTTATTCAGCAGAGATATATTACATTGATCAAAAGTAAAAGTAAAGGCATTTATAACATTACAAAAGTTTTCTCTTTTAAATAAATGCTGTTTGAACTTTCTATTCAATAATTTTTTTTAAATTATGGTTTCCACAAAAGTATTAAAGGCAGAGTAAGCGATTTCTGGTAGCCAATGTTGATATTTGAAATCACCAAAACAAACACGCCCCTACCCCAAAAGGGTCTTGCCCCTATTTTGATCGCTCCGCCCCACATATACGTACGCAACCCAGGCAACGATTAGTTCTGTGAAACAAAGCAAAACCAATGTTACACCATGTCTACGGACGTGAGCGGCGCGGCAAGGAAACTGCTGCCGGGTTTTATTTATGACGTGCTGACACAAATTTCAAATGGTTTTCAACGGTCGTTTGATCGCGTCCAGTGTAGTCAGACTTTAGCTGTTGTAGACACGGTGTTACTCACCTATTGAGAAGAAACAAAGCAACCTCGGCGTCCGATCGCAGGCCTCCGCTCCTTGAGTTCTCTCCAGCGCTGGAAAGCTGATCCAATATTTACACGGGTCCTACTTCTTTGCCTTATCGTTCCGCAGACGTTTTCCTCTTTTGTTTTTTATCTGCCATTTCTATCTTTCTGTCGCTCGGCTCGGCTAATGTCCGTACCATGCACTGAAAGCTCTTTCCTCCACATCACGAGTAGACACGCCCCTTATTGCTGATTGGCTACAAGTTTGTTTTGCTATTCGGCCCGAATCAGTTTTCTAAAGTGTTTTTGAAAAATCACATACCCTGCCTTTAAGCAGCACAACTGTTTTCAACATGGATAATAATACAAATTTTTTCTTTAGCAGCAAATCAGCATATTAGAATGATTTCTGACGGATCATGTGCCACTGAAGACTGGAGTTTTAAAATATATTAAAATAGAAAACTGTTATTTAAAATTGTAATAATATTTCACAATATTGCTGTTTTATAGTGTTTTTAATTTTTTTAATGGTAATATATGTGTTTATAAGACACTGGGCTTCAAGACCTTTTTTTTTTTTTTGCACCAGCTGATACTTTTCTTTTACCTTGTCTTGATGAAAAACTGCAGAATTTATCAGTTTGGCCTCTGGTATATGCAATCGCATTGTGTGATAAATCTGGTTTAAAAAGATCTGCATTAATTAGCACTAGATCAAAGTCTCCTGCTTTTTTTACATTCTTCTGCTCTTGCCACATGTGGTCCACAGACTCGGCCCAGGCATATGGTTTTATTTAGCTTTGTGGAAAGGTTAAATAGGAAACTTGGATAAGAGAAAAGGCACTGAATCTTTTTATATGATGAAATTTTGAAAGTTTCTTTTGGGGCAATTTAAAACATACATGTAAAAACTTATCAGTCTTTTGGTTTGCAAGTCGGTCTTGGCGTAGACGGATCTTGGCCGTTACACTGCGTTTGTCTCTATTGGCTGTTTAAACACGGTGGTTTGTGTAGGGCTAATTCTCTTGGATAAAAAGCCTGCACCAGACTCCTTTAGATACTGGCACCAGACAAATTGCAGTGCATTTTGTCTTTTTTTTTTCTTTCTTTTTAAATTTAGATTGTAAGCCTCTCGTTGGGTGTAAACAAAAATACTGAAATGAGTAAGTGTATATTGGAAACACAGTTTGAGCATTAGTGTGGTCGAATAAAAGAGTTTGACTGAGACACACCAATGCAAAATGGCAAAGAAAAAATCTTTATTGGTTAAATTGCTTTTCACAGATTTGATTAATGTCCGTTTTTGTTTGATTGCTCGGTTTTTCCACTGTCATGCACAACGTACAACAGTGGATTCCCATGGAATGACATTACATCAGTTTTGTTCTGATTTAAAACCCAATTTGCACTATTTACCAGATGCAAAATCTTGCCTTAGCCACTCAACATCCCAAACCCAAGGATTCTGTGAGAGCACTGTTTAAGTGTAGCGATTATACGCCTCATAGTGTGTTGTAAAATAAATTAGTTACGTGCATAACAGAGAACTTGTAGTCATTTTTGCATCAAATAACACCCTAGCCAAAATCTCAGTGCAAACACCATTGTAGCTGAAAAATCCATGAGTCTCTGCAAATGAGTACCAATATACTATGATGCACAATTTGAAAAATCAAAACAAAAAATGTCCATAATGAAATTTCATCTACTAGTGTTTGGTAGTTGTGGAGCTACGCTGGCATGTATCTCTTAATATAACTGACTAAATATTAGTCCAGCTCTAAAAAGCAGTCTTCTAAAAAAAAAACCTCACATTTGTGACATAGTTAGCTTGATTTACAGTACTAAAACTCTATCTCTCAAGCAGCAATGATTACATTGAGTTAAAAAGGTCATTCACTCCAAAGGTAAGACATTAATTCTGCTCATTCTAATTCAAAACTAGTTCATTCCATCTGCCCTCCCTAAAGAAACAAAAAGGAAAATAAAATGGCATTTTTTAAAAAAGAGAACAAAAACAAAGCCTTTCTCTCGCACACTATTAAAGACAATTTCAGTCAAAATCAAAATGCGGAAAAGAACATCAAGCCGTGTAACAGTTGGTACAGCAGCTCAGTCCACAAATAGACATTTCTGTTTCATACCACCACCCAAAAAAGCAACAAATATCATCAAATAACAAAAACCAACACCACATAAATTCAAAGTTTATCAGGAAAATGACAGTCCACTGTGATTAATAAAAAAATAAAAAAACGTATTTGCTGATGAATGTATTGCTGAAATTTGGATTATTGTCAATAAATATGCACTTGGATGGTATTAATTATGTAGACATGACCTTGAGTAGTAGTCAATCTTCATCTAGTGGTGGGATATCCTGTTAATGGTTATGAATAAATAAATATTAATTTGTGACTGCGAACACCCTGTTGGAAAATGTAGATTTGAGGTCATGTGACGTCATAAACGGGATCGACTGTAGGGGGGTTAAAACACAAATCTACACCTACTGTAAGAGTGCAACTTGTTCAAATGGAATCGTTGTGTGGCATTTTAATAAACCCAATACTAACAAGCACAACAAAATCAATCACATGACCAAGGCATATTTTGGTGGACAGAATTGAGAGATGCGCCAGGTTTGGCCCCGTTTGTGCCCCTTCGAGTCCCCCCTGGCTGTTCGGTTGTTAGGACATGTTAGCGCTGCTAGTTTCAACATCATTATTAATGAATAGTACCTCCAGCAGTGTGAGTAATTTTATGTCTCTGTATCGACTAGATTGAGGAACTTGTGCGGATGAAGCCCCGCCCCCTCAGTACAGGAAATGAGTGCGTCTCATTGCCTGGGTCAGTCCTCTAGTGTCGTGACATGGCACCAAGTCGCACAGCTAGACGTCCAGGTCGTCAGGCCTCGCTCGACTGCTCATTCTGCTGCTGGCGCGGCTGCACGGCCGAGCGTCTATCAACGCCAGCGGCTGCAGCTCGTGGCCCGGTGTCAGTTTCTTGTGCTCGTGAGTGTCGTCAGGGTAGTCGAAGGCCTGAGCGTGCGAGTTGGAGATGGTGCTGCCGTTCTGGCCCAAACGGTTCTGTTCGGTGCTGTAGTTAGCCCAGTTCTGCTCGTTGGCCTGCTTGTTGTAATTGCGACAAGAGTTGGTCCGCTCGCCGGTGGCTAGCTTGTAGCCCGGAGGCGACATTGGCGAGAGCGGCGCGGTCGGCGAGGAGCAGCCGTTGTAGTAGGCGTATTTGGTCGTGGACAGTTCCTTCGGCGTGGGGCTCAGGGTGCCGGTGGGGAACTGGTTTTGGCGGCCTTTCACGCGGTCCTTGATCCGTTTGAAGAGCACGTAGACGAGCTCGATGATGTTGAGCAAAAGTGACACGAGCGAAACCACCAGCATGAAGATAATGAAGATGGTCTTCTCCGTGGGGCGGGAGAGGAAACAGTCCACCTGATGGGGGCAAGGCGAACGCTCGCACGTGTACACGGCGGACAGGCTGAAGCCGTAGATGTACCACTGGAGCAACAGGAAGCCCACCTCAAAGATGGACTTGAAAAGGATGCTGACGATGTAGGTGCGCAGCAGGGCACCCTTCATCTTCACCTTGCCGTGCTCCTCCAGGCCGTGCTTGAACTTCTTGAGCTCGATCTTCTTGAGATGGAGCTCGACGTCACCACCGTCATTCTGCACGGCCTTCAGCTCCTCCTCCCTGCGGTTGAGCTTCTCCTCCTTGCGCATCAGGTAGAAAACGTGCGCCAGGTACAGGAGCGTAGGCGTGGACACGAAGATGATCTGAAGCACCCAGAAGCGCACGTGTGAGATAGGAAACGATTTGTCGTAGCAGACGTTGTCGCAACCGGGCTGCTGGGTATTGCACTTGAAAGCTGACTGCTCGTCACCCCAGGCCGACTCCACTGCCGTTCCCAGAACTAGGATCCGGAAGATGAAGAGCACAGAGAGCCAGATTTTCCCTCCGGCCGTGGAGTAGGCCTGCACCTTGTCAAGAAGTCTTCCCAACGCACTCCAGTCACCCATCTTGAGGGAGTTCTAGCTGAAAATAGAAAGCTGAGATGTAATAAAATGTATTTAGACACTTTTGGACACTTCAGTGACACTTATATGTCTGAATATCATCGCATTAGATGCAAAACATCAAAGTGACATGTCTGAACGGATAATACTTCACTTTAAAAAAAAATCTGTCATTTTTAATCAAACAGTCCATCACTTTTAGTGGATGTCATATTAGTATATACACACACACACTTTGTTTCTGTGAATTGTGTGGACTTTCCATAGACTTCTATTACTTTTATACTCACCAAACTATATTTTTTATCCCCTAACCCAACCCTAAACCTACCCCTTACAAAAAACATTTGGTCCCCACAATGTAGCATAAAGTACACACACACACACACATAGTTATGTAATGCAAAGCAATTCATACATTTTGAAGTGTGGCTCAAGTGGTAGTGTATTTTTCTGTACATAAAGCACATGATGAAAGTGTTAGTTTCAGCACCTGCTGAGGATGTTATTATGAAAATAATCATGAGGGTGACCTCAGGATTATCATAATATAAACTACACCTGGTCTCAGATAGCTCAGATAACAAACATGTGGCTTACACACGTAGGGGTTTGGTTTGGGGTTGTAAAGATAACTGCCAGGCATTGTGTCTTTTGCTTTGTGAAATACAATTTCTCATGCAAATGCTACCATGACAGAAAGTGACTCATTATCTGCTGATTAAAACGTCTTAAATGCCATGAAGAAAACATGACTAAGCAGCTAGGACAATGGAGAATTTAAAGATCCTTGTTTATTTAGTGAGATGTCGGTCCCTCCAGTCACATCAGAGATGTTTAAATAATGAACAATAACATTCACTTGAAATCTGAATAGAATTGGGCTGCAAGTCTTTAATTAATCCTCTGCGCAGCATGGAAAATCAAATATCATAAGGAACTGTTTAAACAGTTCTAAAGAACTGCCTGATTCATGTGGTGCAGGCATGAAGCAGAGCATCCCTTCAATATCCTGGACAATTTGTGGGTCTCGTGGCACTAATAAAAAGTTTAAATGGGGTATGTGGAATGTATATTATGACAGTGTTAAAAGTCCATAAAGACATCAAGTGGGCAAAAAAATTAAAGTACATAGAATAATAACTGTTTGTTGCATTTATTTAAACATATAAAAATCAAACTTGTCATTATATTGATTGCACAAAATAATGTAGGAATGTTTGGGAATTACAGGTTAAAGTCCTGCCACAGTCAAGCCGCTTAACATTGTATTGAGGGACTGAACAGCGCCCCCTACTCGGCGCTATTCACGACGCAGGCGAAACAGATCGTTTTTTTCACCAGAAAGTCGTATTAGAGTTCTAAAAACAAAGGAAGAAAAGACCCAACGTTGTTTTTCCATCTTATTTTACGAGAAAAATTGTTGTTATAATTAGTTCCTATTAAATTCATGTTTTTGATTCCTGTTTACGTTTTTCTTCAAAACTTTTTTTCCAGACACAAAGTTTTTTTGAAATGTCTGTTATTTAATTGTTGTTTTAATTATTGAAATGCCTATTAAATGACCTCTTTTTCACCGAACGTGTCCTGCACAGCAGACGTGAATAAAATGCGAAAATATGATATAGCCTATTGAACCATATGACTGTAATATATTTCGATAGATATGAGATTTCGATCATTTCATGAACTTCTAAACTCACTCAAATGTTAAGTTAAAATGTAATATGACAAGAGGCATTTAAAACGTTAGAATTCTTTTAAAGTAACTTAACATTGTGTTGCTCAGTTCTGAATATTAGTGCCGCTATGAAAAAATAAATAGTTTTGAAAAGTTGTAAGACTTTCTGTAAAAACTTACCTGGAGAGAAGTAAAGAGAGGAGAGCCCTGTAGGGACTTACTCCGTCTCTCCGAAGATCAGTCACCAAATCCAAGTAAGCGACTATGGAGAAACTGAGGCACACTTGTCAAACTTTCCCTGCTTATAAGAGACTCGGAGCGAAGAAAGTGGAAAGCAGACGCACAAAGTTTGGCAAAGTCACATGACTGGCAACGTAACAAGAAAGAGTTTTTGGGTCCTCCTTTCGCTTGGTGAGCTTCTTCAACTCAGACGAACAAATGTTTCTCTCGAAAACTTGTCTTATTAGCAATAATTGACAATCGTAATACAATATAAATTGCATATTAATAAATATAGCATAACATAATGACATTTCTAACGTGATTGTAGGTAAGTAAGGACGTTTTTATGATTATCCGAATAGAATAGTCACTAAAAGGGAGCGTTTGTTATCTTGAGGTAAAGAATATAAATATAAAAATGATATTATCATTGTTTACTGCGGTTTTAATTTTACATATTCGGTAAATATTAAAAGTAATTTTAGTGTTGAAATATTATGAATATTTAATATATAATATAATGTATTATAAATGAACTTATAGTGTTAAATATTATAAAAGCATGTGCGTGTGCATTTGCAGATTTTTTTTTTATTAATAATTTAATATCTTTGTCCCTGATGTCCCTTCTATATAAGAAAACAACTGATACATCTTCATTTATTTATTTCTCTTACAATGTTTATTCTTAGTGCACAAAAAGAAAAAGTTGGTTAAACATATTTCGTGTTGCATTGCTAAAATAACATTAAAAACGATATAATTACTACAGTAACTCAGGCAACAACAAAAAAAATCACTGGCCTTGTAGTGACAGAAGTTAGGGGTTAGTGAGTGCAACTCAAGAAGATTACAGCGCCATCTAGTGTTCAT